AAGCAGCCTGAAATCACGCTCCACGGAGCAACCTTCTCAAGTGTGTTGCTCAGTAGTTGCTCTCCTCAAAACAGCTGTTGGAATTCTCAGAGACTCGAATAGAATTGCCTCTTTCAACCAAATCACGTCTCTTTTTTTGAATCAACAGTGGAGACGTCTCGCCTCGACGTGTGTTCTTGCCTCACGACGACCACCACGTCACGTGTTCGACGTGTCATCCTCTCGACTCTGGTAGGGAGAGCCAATCACTGCGGACGATTTTGGCATCACAGGTCGGGTTGGGTGCAAAAGAGGAAAGCAGGAACGAGCACAGTCCCGAATGCATGGGATTGGAGCTCAGAGCATCACAAGAAGAAATGCACTTAAGTTCATTTCACCTGAGAGGTTTTGGGGTTCACCCAAAATGGTGCCTGATTGCAATTGAATCTGATATGTCTTGTTCATGCGAGGAGCACTGGCAGTTCTGATGATGGATGCTTTGCCGCCGAACACCATGCAGACACTGGAGGGCACACCGGCTCTCGTCCATGTCCCTTTGATGCAAGACTATACTTCTTGGGTATCTCAGATGGTCTATGACATGAAAGAACAAGCCAGGACCTTCCCAGTGACCTTTTGAGATCCCAGAATGAGGTCACTTAGGTCTTGAAAAGGTCACTTACCAATCCTGAAGAGGTCACTGAGAAGGTCCTGGCACACAGATCTACACAGATCTACACAGATCTAAGATCTATCCCCCCCTCCTCCTCCTCCTCCCACACAACGGAACAGAGCTCGGCCCGGTGGTTTGAAGCGCCGCGCCGGTCGTCCGCGGTGCCCCGGTCCGGTCCCGGACGCGGTCGAGACCGCCGGGTCGAGGCCGGACCCTTTGCGAACATCGCGCACGGCAACTCGTCCATCATTTCAGCCCCTTGGATTGGAACTTGGAGAAGAGGTGCTTCAAGAGATGCTGGATGCTTGATGCTGGATGCTCCCCTCTTGTGAGCTGTTTTTCACCGGAAAGAGGTTGGAGGTGGAAGAGATCCCTAAGCAAAAGCGGGTGACGTGGACAAATAGTTCATCAGCAAGGTGCCATGTTTGTTGAGTGTTTGGTTCAGCAGAGCAGTCACAGAATCCCACAGCTGCAAGACAACATCGAACAGTGCAAGTTGTGCAAGTCTTCCAACTAAGATCAAAGCAGTCAAGCAGAAAAAGAACAAATAAGCAGAAAAAGGCAAGGTCATGTATGTGTTTTCTCCAACCAGTGCGGTCACACTATAGAGCTTCTGAACCGTCAAGGTGTTTTGCTCTTCGCCCCTTCAGTGGAGTGCCGAGGACCTCATTGGGCTGAAGCTCGTGGGCAAGGACGGCTATGTCCTGACCGAAGCGGGCTTCGGCTCTGACATGGGCGGTGAAAAGTTCTTCAACATCAAGTGCTACTACAGCGACTCGCTGGAGCACAGAGCACTCGCGTGTCTTTTCTTTCTCTTCTGTCCGCGGCCCCGCCGACCTACGACTAGGTAGCTACTAGGAACTTCTTCACTCCTAGCTCGGATGCAGGATAGCGAGCGAAGACGCTTCCTTGGTTGTTGCGCGAAACACGAATCGATGTGTGTGGTGAAACTCGATTTTGGGGGGAAACCATCAGCTGCACGGTTGCTTTTCAGAGATATTGGTAAGGGACTGCTCCGATGGAGTTTTTGGCGTATACACATCCCCCGTGTGAGTTGTCAGAGTGGTCCATCACAGCCAGAGTCCGTCCGTCCGTCCGTCCGTCGCTGCGTGCGTTCGTCATCGACGCTGCGGCTCGTCGAACGTCCAAGTCTCCAGGTGGATTGAAGCCCGACTGCGCTGTGATCGTTTGCTCGGTGAGAGCCCTGAAACTCCACAGCTGCGAGGCGAGACGTCTTCCCGCGGTCCGCGGCGGTGTGGTTCGGTCTGGTGATGTCCGGTGGGTGCGGAAGGATGAGGACGAAAAGGACTGGAACCGGGAACAGACCGGGTCAGATGGTCATGACTGTGCGCCTGGCAAAGAGGAAGGAAGGAAGTCAGCTCCTCCGGTTTGTCGTACGTGGATCTAAGTCTGACAGGTGCTGTTTGTACTTTGTGCTCGTTTCGTTTGACCTTAGGTTGCTGAATTTCAGCCTCGTTGGAAGCACTGCCGGGCTCGTCGGCACAGGCACCCAAGATTGTCGCTGGACAAACGCCCGCGAAGGAATACCGAGAGGCAACGATGGGTGGGAGTCGGCGTACGTCTCTTGTATCAGTGGTACGTCTCTTCAGGAGAGCAAAAGGCTTGAAAAAACCTGGAATCCAGACTGGGATCCAGGCAGTGTCAGGGTATGAATCGAAACCTGGTTCCAGGAGAATTTGGATTTGGTGGAGAAGGGCTGTGCCAACCTGATCGCCCACATCCAGAACGTGCGAAAGCATGGTGTCAAGGCGCCACACATGAAGAACTGCATTGCTTTTCCGAAGCCGTGGATTTGGTTTGGACGTGTCATATTTCGCAAAATTACAAACATGAAGCAATCCCGGACTGCTTCTTAGAGCCCCTTCGAGCATTCGATGTGTGAGTCAGCCCCAAGAATGGCGGAGGCAGTGGTGGCCATCAACCGCTTTGGCACAGATACGGATGCCGAGCTAGCGCTGGTGAAGAAGGCCGTGCTGTCGATGTGTCATGTTGGCCCAACGGAGACCTGGGGCCGTAGGGTTGTATCATGGTTGTCCAGCCAATTGACCCGTTGGACATCGTTGGACGCAGCTGATAGGTTGAAGTCTCATGTGATGCTCCTCTACAATCCCATTCTCTGTCCAAAACGGCGAAGCTGAAGAGAAAATGCCGAACACCGACCCGACTTCGGGCCCGGAACCACGCCCGCCCGTAGACACCACTCGGAATCCTCGCGGATTTCGGTCCCGGCCAGATCGCTGAAGAGAACGGGGCCTTTGCTGCGGTCGTCGCGGAGACCGGGTGCGTTGGGGTGACCGCGTCGGGTCGGCGAGCGTGGAAACGCTCCGCGGGTCGACGCGACAGTGGACGCGACGGGTCGCAGTGGTTGTGTGTTTTGCTCAGGAGCATCATGCCAAGGGAGGTGCTGGTGCAACAGCTCTGGGAGAAGCGGTCATGGCCGCCTGCAAAACGCCGTCGGACTTCAAGTTCCTTTATGATGCCAAGCTCCTGGGAGGCAGTCGGTGTGTTACTGCAGACACGGAGCAATGTCAGCTGAAACCCGCACAAGTCACAAGAAAAGCCAAGCGATGAAGATGTCCAAAAAAGCCTGTCAGGAGCAGCTTTGGGATGAGAAGAAATGGTTGCATAGTCATCATTGAAGTTGCAGTGGGTCAAGGCACACACTGGAACTGTCATGCTAGAACTGGTAAAGAGATTGGTGAATATTGAGTGGTTGGAAGGCTACCCTGGTCAAACGATGCTGAGTAATAGTTTCAGAAGTCGTTGCTTTTGACTTGAGGAAAGATTCCATCAAGAGCAAGATTCTCAAAGTTGTTCAAGAGGTTTATGGTGGAGCAGACGTCAAGTACTCTGCAGCTTTGCATGAAAAGCAGCTTTTTCATTGCATCCAAGTTTGAGTATTCGTATGTATTCGTCAAACAAAAACAACACGAACAGCACATGAATCAGAGTCATCACCAAGCGCATGTTCCATTCCTTTTTGTGGCTACAACAGAATCATGATTCAAGGAGAAGGCGGAGGCCGTGCTTTCAAGATACCAAGCGGATCCAGCCATCAACTGCCTACCGATTTGCATGTCCAAGACCCAGTACTCCCTCTCAGTTGCTCGACCAGCATTTTGACATGCTTCAACTCTGTGGTCGACTGGCTTTCAAAGCAAAACGGGCAAAACGCTGTTGTCGGGACTCCCAAGTCTTTTGCTTCACTCGCAATCTTCATCTTGGCCGCCCAACTACCAAACCGGGTGTGCTTCGACGATGGGAGGCTGCCAAGGAAGGAACGCTCGCGCACACGTGTTCGACCGCCGAACCACCGTTCGCGCGAAGACGATCGGTCACCGTTTCAGTTCTCGAAGCTTCGAATCCCAAGCTGCACGACCGAATCGCGTTCACGAAGGGCTCTTCGTGTGGATTTCTGGAAGAAAAGAGACAGAAGCTCCCAGTAGCGTCCGATCGCTCCGTTCGTAGTAATGGCCACGTTCGCAATGCCGCTCCGTTCGCGTCCTTGCCACCACTGAGGACGATGCCAAGAAGCTCGGAGACTCGGACGAAAGACCGTCTGGACGAGTCGACGACTGGGACGGAGCGCGGAGACGCTCCCGGCTGCGTCCGGACGGTCGGCCAAGCGGTTCCATCTTCGGGACCAGCTCGAGGGCTGGCGCAAACATCAGGAACACGAAGCAAAATGAACCGAAAAGCAAAGATGGTCACGCCGGATCCATCAGGAACGGGGGGGATGAATGAAAGATCGCGGGTTTTTCAGAAGTCTCCCCACTCACCGCTACACGCTACACAACCCGACCGGTCGTCGTAAGGATCTTTCGGTCTTTAGGAGTGAAACCACGGTCGACCGGTGTCGCTGTCTGTCTGTCTGGCTCGTCGCAGCGGGTCGTTGTCTGTTGAGGAGCGCCCAAAGGCTTCACCATCACAGTGCAAGACATGCGTCTTGACGAAGCATTTCGATGGATTTCATGGTGTTTTGTTTTAGTCTATGTGGTTTTTTGCGTGTATTTGGTCGGAGCAGTTTGGCTGAAGAGAAAAGATGATGTTTGACATTGAATGTTTGTGTTCTATAATTTACTTTTTGAGCAGAAACTTGCTTGAAGGATTACGTCTAAAGCTTCAGTAGAAAATGAGACTCATTTGCAAGGGAGCCCCCAGTCTTATTTGGTTGAGCAGATCAGACACACTGCCGGTCTGTTGCAGGTATGTCAGTGCCGGGGCCGGCTTCATTGTGGTTTCGCTGGGTGTACCTTGACGTTCTTCAGATCAAAACGAAATTAAGTTTGACTGCATGCATGTATGATCCAAACAATCTGCAGCTACAAATATCTAGCAGTTCCATGGGGGGGTGCGATCCGTGGAGGTATAGACATACTATAAAGAACCACATTATAGTGTTCAAGAGAACACATATAGACAGACCTCACCAAACGCCTGCGACCGCAACAAAGAGAGAGAGAGAGAGATCGCTGCACGCAGCGACCCCCAGGACATTACCTTTATGCCTGGACTTCCAATCAAGCCTGCATATTACAAGATCGACTTGGACTTCACACAAGATCCACCCAGAGTGGTGGGACTCTCATAGAGCGAGCTCCACTCGCATGCAAGCAGCGAAAGGAGCAGTTTGTGAGCTTAACGAGCAGACGGGGGAGCCATGACTTTTTTGAAGCTCAGTTTTAGATTTTGACCGGGAGCCTTTGCTTCTCCCGGTGCCCCGCAAACGAGCAGTATTTTTAGCCTTTTGAGCGGTCTTCTGCCTTGCGGGCAAACCCGTGGCTTCCAAGTACCAAAAGTTTCCGCGGAGTGAGAAATCCTGCGCGCGTCGCCAGCTGCAAGCAGCACAAGAAGGATGATATTTTTGCTCGGCATCCGTGGGTTGTTCTGGTGCAACTGACCGTCGCGCAGTAAGCGGTCATGCAGTTGACTGCCCACCAAGCATGTGCAGCTCGCTGACGAAGCTTGTGTGTGTGTTTGTGTTTGTGTGTTGGTCAAATGAATCTTGAAAACCACTCAGACGCTCATGGACCCTGCGTTCGGTAGGGGCTGTACCCGAATCCGGACTGGAGGGGCCCGGACCTTCTCACCAATCTCTATGGTTTGGTTCGGGACCGGGAAAGGGGTGTGAGGGGTCGCGTCTGGGCAGAAGGACATCTTTCTCCGGACTTGAACAGCCAGAGTCTCTTCTTCCCCACGTCGTTCCCTTCGCAGCTGAGTGGATCAAACCTCGTGTGACAGCGTGTGACAGGCCACGCAGCTGAAAGAGATGGGGGAAGAAGAAGACGAAGAAGGAACCTAATAGCAAGGGCCTCCAACCCACTAGCGATGGCCTCCAACCTAGAAGAAGAAGAAGACAGGTTCGCAGTAGTGAAACCTGTCCAAGATTTTTCACGAGTTCGTGGGGCGAGGTTTTTCGGACCAGAAGTGAGGTTGGCAACTGGGTATTTGCCCAAAGAATCCAACCACACGAGGGGGCTCTCCCAGTAGCCCGGAGTGTTAGGCTGAGGATGTTTGAGCGCAGTGTGATGGTTGCGCTTGGGCCAAATTCAGCATCACCATGATACAGCCTTCTTGGCTCCAATAGAGCTGGATGTGGACTCTACAAAAGACGTGTGTTTCTGAGAGGGAAATGAATCCACGAATGGAGAAATCAACATGTCATTGAGGTCTCCAACAAAGCTACTTGAAGACCGAAAGGTCTTAGACCAAAGTGCGGTTTCGCTACTAGTAGCAAGGACGCTACTAGGGGGAGGCCATCGCTACTAGTAACTGGAAGAAAATGTTACACCCAACCCATTTCGACTTGGATCGCAGTGTTCGGACCCAGGTGCGCGCCACGCGCCGGCGCCGCTATGCTGCAGGGCAGTGTGCCACTGCTGCGCTCGAGGACCGGCTCAGGGCATTTTGGGCGACAACCCTGAAGTAGGGAGACATCGACGGGACATGTCCACTGATGAAGCTGCAGTGGTTGGGCTTCCAATGTTGGACCGGTTCGAAGGAAGAGGTGAATGAGTAGAGTTCAAGACTTCTTTGCCATTGAAGGGTGATTGCTGTTTATGTGGCTGTAGGAGGTCTTACTGGCATTCACCAAGTGTTCCACACGAAGCTCTTCACATTTGAAGGGTCTTTCTTTCATGAGTAGTTCAGTAGTTGTGACAAATTGCCATTTGAGCCGAGAGTTCTTAGGGGGTGAGTTGAGATTCAGCGCCTCAACCATTCTACTTTAGTGAGTCGCCTTACAAAAAGAAACAGTCCTCCCCAATGTCGAAGGACTGCCAATGCCCTGAGACACAGAATTGCTGCAGCACCTTGGACGCATGGCCAGGCAGCGTCAAGCGGCCTTGCCGCGAAGATGAGGCAGTTAGGTAAGGTGCCTACTTTTGCATTCTCAACCACTTCAGTCTTAGAACAGAATGGTCTGTGACAGATCCATGTCCAAATCGCCAATCTTCCAAGCCTGGAAAACCTCTATCAGTGGAAGCCACCACCAACTCAGCTCATTAGTGCCAAACGGCTAAAGGAGTTGTCAGGCCTACAGTTTCAAAGAACCCCTGCCATCTCAAGGGGTCAAGTTGCTGGATCGCGTGGAGCCATGTTCAGGTGCTCAAGAGACTCCGTGAGCTCGTTGCCATCTCCACATGAAGAGACTCCGGTGTTTGGTCAAGCCAAACGGCATGACGTGACGGAGTCCACGGAGTCCTCATGTAGAAAGCACAAGGCCTCCACGTTGACCGACATAGGTACCCAAATGTACCCCATAGACATGTACTAAGTGACTGACCCACTAGCGTAGGCATACCACCGATCTACATCCGTCTGCTCCGTCCTCTCCGTCCCAACAAGGCCTCCACGTTGCCTGCGGATGGCCTCACCTTGGCGGACTTCATGCCGAAGCAGAGCTCCACAGCCAAGCGTCCGCAGGCGATGCGGAAGCCGCCCTGGTCGGAGGCCTCAGTCGATCACCGCGGTCGAAGGGAAGGCGAAAGCGAAACCCCCGCGGTGGGTTGACAAGGACCGATGAGAAGGACTTAGGGCGTCAGAAGTATGTCATCCCATCTTATTCTATAAGTGGGCACATATATTATGTGTATATACATGTCCCCTTGGCAGTCATGGCATGAGTTTGTGAACTCCAATACAGACTCAGTCTTTTTCGCTTCTCCGACCTCGCACCGAGACCCAAACCCCGCCTTCGCTCTCGCTCTGGTCGTCACTCGCCTTCGCTCAGCTTCGGATGCATCCGGCCCCGCACCGCTCGCGCCGAGGCTGAAGATGGTGAATCCGAACTTGACGCCCGAAGGAACCGAGCGGTGCCGTGAATCGAGCGGAGCAGAGACCGGTGTGTGTTTTGGCGAGACCGAGAGACCGCACCAGGGTTGTGACATTTGAGCATTGCAGAATAGAGTCTTCGCATGTTGCCTTCATGGTCACTTGCCATTGTGCTTGGGCTTTGGGCATGGGAAGGTACAAAGAAGTTAGGGCCACCATCAAGGAGACTGGATTGGCCACTGTGCAAGCCCCAAGCGCGAGCAGCTCACTTTATGGAGTCGTGGCCGGTCGTTTCAGGGGTGCCACAAGAACTGGGGAGACCACAGCAGGATACTTCCGTATGTTCATCTCAGAAAAGAAACGTCTTCTATTCCAGGAACTCTTTGGCAGCTCTTTCTATTATTCAGACACCATCCAGCTGAGAATCCGATCCTAGGTGTGCCAAGAGGCTCGCTGCCCCAATGCTGGCGAGTGCTGGTCTGGCGGGACAGCTACGGTGCGCACGGACCGTGGGCCACGGCACTCCAAGCTGCGAGCGGCCTCCATCCCATGCAATCCATAGGGAAGCCAGGGCATTCAAGATGTGTTTGCAGGGCATTGACTGGTCAGTTTACTTTGGGTGTTCAGATATTCGGTGGGCTGAGAGAGAGAGAGAGAGCTAGTGCAACGTTAGACATGGTGTTTCAATGATGTTCAATGAAGTCGACCAAGATTCCGTTGGCGGCCCGGTAGAAGCGGGTGCCAGGTGATGATCATGGGTGACACATGCACACGGGGTTGTCGCTTTTGCTCAGTTGTGGCAACCTCAGATGATTGGGGAGGGGAACAGACTAACGTTCCGAGCGAAACCGCAGACGCTTCCCAGGAAGAGACAAGACCTTGAGAATGGTCTTTATCAATTTGCCATGCAGCGTGGTAGCATACGCATTCTTCCTCATACTTGCTGCCCAGATGTTGATGATGTTCTATGGAACAGATCTCCCCACTTGCCCAGATCCTACAACACCCAACCGGACCTATCTTGGATATTGCCAAATCCGCTCTTCGTTCGGTCCACACCCCCGGAGCCAAGGCCACGTCTCGCACTCCGCCACCTCCGGATGCCGAAGAGCCACGCAAGGCCACCGCGCCGCTGATGGGAGAGCAAAAAACGCGAGTCGAAACGCGAAGCGTACACTGCGAGTCACTGAGTCACTCCGTGGAGCAGCACACTTTTCTGCCACGGAGCTTCTGCATAGCGAAGGGAAGTTTCGCTTAGAAAACCGAGCTGTTCAAGGAGAAACCGGCTGTTGACTTCAACCATGTTGTGAGTGGGTGGGTGGGTTCAGAACACCCCGCGAGTCGACTCCCTTCGACTTCGACTTCGACACTGAAAGGTCCCGGTTCCCGGTCCCTTCTCAGTTCGCCGACCGGCCCTGAGAGGTGGCTGAAGCCGTGACTCGATGGGGTGTCGACTACATCGTTCTGACCATGGCCACTTCGAAAGAACGAACGACGGGGGGCGAGGTCGCGACGGTTCGGTTCCGCGCGCGTGTGGTGTCGGTCAGGACGACGTCTGAAGACGAGGACGGCCGACCTTTTGGCTGGGTCGGGCCGTGAAGGTCGGTTTCAAAGGAGCGTTTCGGAGGCGTGGACAAGGTCAATCTGAAGGTGATTTCATCCTTAAAAATTTGTAGATCTTTGGACAAAAATCATCTAAGGTTCTAAAACTTTGGAAATAAATGGCCAAGGGTGTCTCATGCCTCAGTGTGGCTTTCTGACAAGCCTGAGGTCGACCGAGATGATATGGCTGATCAGGGTGCTAGCCACGTGGCCGCCACCGTCAGAGAATTGAAGCAGAGGCACGGAGGGGTGTTCCTTGCTTCCGTGGTGTGGTGCTGTGTTTGCTCAAAAAGGGGGACACCCCGAAACCCGGGTCGACTGGCAGGTTGACTGGTTCCAAACCGGTCGGAACGCGCAGACGCGAGACGGTCGACCTCAGGCTTAGTCGTCTCACACACAGGAGGTCATGCAAGTTGCGAATGCCAGGCAACCAGACATCAAAGTGGAGACCTTGATCGGTGACTTTCAAGGAAAGCTCGACTTGCTCGAGGAGGCCACTCACCTTCAGTCATCGTTTCAATGAGGGAGAAGAACGGATGTACGTACTGTGCATGTACGTGGTGCGCAATTGGCAGGTTTTAGAAAGTGGCATGGATGTGTTTGCACACAATGTCGAGACCGTCGGGGCCCCAGGCAGCTAGACCAAGCCGAGAAACTCTCGCTTTGCAGCCACTGGCACATCTAGCTGGTCGGACGTATACATCGTCCTCAATAAAC